TATTGCTTACCTTTTTAAATTATTATTATATTATATATTATTTTTTGTTGTTTAAAATAACTATATAATTAACATAAATATGAATTAATTTTTTTACTTAAAAAAATAAAGTATACTATGTTATTGTTTTTTTTGAAATTATATTTAAATAAATACTAATAATACAAATATCTATTGAACTTATTATTAAATCTACAATTATTTAATATATTAAATAAATTTAATTTTTATATTTTTAATTAAATCAATTTGTTTTAAACTAAATTTGTTTTCCATATTTTTTATTAAATTTTTATTCTCATAATAAATGCATTTTATTAATATTATTTTTTTTAATAATTTATATATAAATATATTTCTAAAACAAATATATTCATATAATATATATATATAATTATGTACACAAAAAAACAATTTGAAATCAAATTAATAGTTAAATTAATTAAATTAATTAATTAAATAATTATATATATATATATATTCTCGATATAATGTCATATTATATAAATATAATAATAATAATAATAATTTCAATAATTATATTTTCAATTGTCGACAAACAAACAAAAAATAATTCATAAATTTTTTTTTAATCAACAATTTTAGTGGCCATTAGAGGACAGACACCACACACACACACACACCACCATCAGAGAGACAACTGTCCTTCAAAAATATATCTATTTTTTCTTAAATTTACAAATGTTTTCCCCGTTGGTGTTGGTGTTGTTGCTGATGGTGTTGGTGTCTCATCAATGGTGTCGATGATGACTGTATTTGACAGTGAAGTAGTGATTGTTGTTGACTGTGATGATGGTGTTGTTGGTGTTGTTGTTGTTGTGGTAATTGATTTTTATATATAAATTTTATCGGTTCCGATGACTTATGATCGCAATGGACAGTAACCTCGGCACTGATAACCGATTGATACTTGCCGTCCGGGCCATCGTAACCGGGTATCGGACAGACCAGATGCGTAGCATTCAGAAACTCTTTCATCGGTTGTACGACTTTACGCCAACAACCGGTTGTTTGTGCCGAACCACCCGAACCCCCCGAACCACCCGAAGTACCCGTAAATACCACTTTTGAATCTTTGTGAAAATTTTTGCCAATAATAAACAGGTCGTTACCGCCTTTGATGTCCGACTCGCTGGTCGACATCTTATAGATTTCGGGCGACCCGAGCGGTTGTGTACACAGAATCGGTTCGCTGATGGACTGTAGGATTTCGCCCGTATCGGGCAATTGGCACCGGAATACTAGTCGACAGTGTGTCGATCGGGCCTTATTTGTCGACCGTATGACTTTCGCTTCTTCCGATGCAGTCGTCATCAGCCGATTACTACCGCCGGCGGCGCCGATCCGTCGGCGCGATCTGAGAACCTTTCGCTCGACATCAACGTTCCGTTCCTTTAGTATACCCATACAGTCGAGGACCGACAGGTATTGATGTTTACCCGACAGTTCCAATTCGATGACATTGAAACCGTCAACTTTGGTCATCTTATACGGTGTTTTACCGCTGACTTCGCAGGCCTGATAAAACAGGTGCGGCTGACCGAGATTGGTGTCGTGACCGATAAAACATTGCATCTTAACCGCCGGCGGTGGCCCCGGCTTCGCATAGCCGAACAACTGGACGGCCGGATACGATCGACCCGTACGGTCTTTGATAGTACCGCGCGATCCTTCCGTCATATACCGGGCCCTGTGATGCGCTTCGGGTTGTTTAACAATACGTAGTTCGCGGGAACCGTCCGCTGATTTTGATGGATAATCGGAAAATAATTTAATTTCTTTGGCAGCAAACGATAGGCCGCCGCCGCCGCCACCAGTCGGTAGTATAGCATCCAGACTCCAGTTGGCCGAAGTGGCCACTCCTTGAAAACTCAATGGCGTATAATCGTCAAATGGCGAACCGTTGGCCGTACTGTCCATACGGGTATAGCTAGAGTTGCTTATCGGCGACAACTGTGGCGACGATTGCGCCGAATAGCATGTATTGAAACCGCTGTCCTCGCACTCGTTTACCACCAATCGGTCCTCAAGTTTTAATTGGTTTACCACCGCCGACGCCGTCAGTACCGGTGCCGTCTCCGTAGGGTTGGATGTATGCGTAAACCAATGGCTAAAACACTGGTCAATGTTGTCCGGATTGGTGTTAGTTGTGGACGACGACGACGAGTAGGTATTGTTGGCTGCGGTGTTGGTGTTGGCGGTAGTCGTCACGACATTTAATGGCAATTGATTTGCTGTCGAGTTGTTGTTGTTGTTGTTATCGGTTATATTGTGCGGTAAATTAGTGGTCAACAACTTTCTGGTCAACATTTGTTGCTGCAGTTGTTGTTGGTGCTGTTGTTGTAATTGTTGTCCCATTTTTGTTGTCGGCGTCGAAAAGTTTACCGAAAAGTTTTGCGGAAACAACATGTTATTTGCGGTATTAATCATTTTATTTTTTTTTTGAAAACTTTTAGTTTTTACACTTAATTTAATTTATATATTAATTATTTGGTTGCAAATAATATACACGTTTTTTTTTTGATCACAAAATTTTTTTTTTGTTGAATAAAATAGTTATTATAATATATAAATTATTTTATTTAGTTTTCAAATCAATTCAATGCACACCAAAAAAAAAAATTATATCCCAATTAAAAAAAATATCATTTGGTTTTTATACCAATTGTTTAGACAAAAGTGATTCAAATTTTTTTTTATTATTTAGCAAATTGTGAGATCAGATCACAATAATAGTACAGTCATTCAGACAGACACACTGTTTGATTGATATATAGATTGATAGACACATATAATAATAATAATAATAATAATAATAATAATAACTAACTATTACTTTAAACTCAAGTTTTATATATATAACTTAAAAATATAACTTTTAGAAAAGTTTAAAAATTTTATTGATGACTGTCTTATATATATATGTAATACTCAATGTATATGATATATACAGCGCATATACACTTATAATGTACTCTCTCTCTCTCTCTCTCTCTCTCTCTCTCTCTCTCTCTTTTACTTTTATATTTATATGTCTCACTATTTCAAATTTTCAATAGACATACAGTCACTCACACACATACACACACATGTGATACCTGAGCGCAAGTGGGATGAACTGAGAGTCTCTGTTAATACACTGAATATAAATGTAGTATAAATTAGCTCTGAAACAGAGCACATATATGTAGAGAGAGAAAGAAAGAGAGAGAGAGAGAGAGAGAGAGAGAGAGAGAGAGAGAGAGAGAGAGAGAGAGAGAGAGAATGTTATGAAAAGTCAGCCAACAATCCTCTCTCTCTCTCTCTCTTTCTCTCTCTCTCTCTCTCTCTCTCTCTCTCTCTCACACACACACACATACATACATACATACATACATACACACACATACATACACATACATACACTCAGTCACATAAAAATACGATTAGTTAGCTATAGTTATAGTTATCATTGAAAATATATAATGTATATACATGTATACTGTGTGTAGAAGTAGTACTAGATTTGTTGATAACAGTTAAATATACTGTAATAATAATAATTATTATTTTTTTTAATAACAAAAAATTTATATATACAGTATATATTGATAGTATATATACAGTATATATTGATARTATATATACAGTATATATTGATAGTATATGTATATTTAATAATAATAATGAGATAAATATCTATCTAATGAATAACAAATATTATATGACCAACAAAAATAAATAATCATCATATTTACTACTGTATAATAATAATAATAATAATAATAATAATAATAATAATAATAATAATAACTAATAATCTCATAAATAAATTATTAAATTTTTTTCATATACATTGAGAAAACAAAACTTTTTTTTTAAAAAAAAGTTTTATCAACTAAAATGAAAATCAACTAAAATAATAATAATAATTGTTGTTAACTATGCTATATATTGCTATACTGTATAATATACAGTGTATATCACAATAACCCTGATTAATTTCTATATAAATATATATATATATATATATCAGTAAGTGTACTAGATACAAAAACAACAACAAAAATAATAATAATAATTTTCCATAAAAATATTTATATATTAGTAAAAACTTTTTTTTATATATATATAAATAGTTTAATTTTGTTTTGTTTTATTTATTTTCAAATAATTTAATATCAGTATAATAAGTAAATCAATTGTAATAATAATACTATTAGTAATATATCTACTAATTACAAAATAATAGGATATCATATATATATTTGTTTATTGATAATTATAACTCAATTATTTTTTTAAAATTTATAACATCATATGAATCAATATTTTTTTGTTAGAATGATATATAATTATATTATATTTTATTTTTTTTAATAAAAAACAATGTATTGTAAATATATTGAATAATTCAATCAATAATTGAAACTAACAAACAAAACAACAACAAAAAATAAATAAAATAATTATATACTAAACAAGTTTAATGTCAATGACGGTATTGACGCTAATTTATAAAAATATAGATACAACTACAGTGTGTGTGTGTGTGTGTGTGTGTGTGTGTGTGTGTGTGTGTGTGTGTGTGTGTGTGTGTGTGTGTGTGTGTGTGTGTGTATGTATATATGTGTGTATGTGTGTAAATATGTAAGTTTGTTTGGGGGTAAACGTGTGTGTGTGTGTGTGTGTCTAGGTGTATGTGTATTTTATTGTCAAATTAACCTTGATCAATCACATAATCATCATCAACAACATCATCATCAACAACAACAACAACAAAATTATATTGCGTCCTCTCTATACCTGGGGGGCCCCCAAATCATCACTTAATAATATATTATTATTTATTTATATATTGAAAATAAATTATATAATTTATAAATGTTTATATCTATACAAAAAAAATTATACATATTTTGTCAAAACATTGTCAATAGTCTACAGTACTAATAATAGTATAATGATTTTTGTTGTTTGTTTAGTATTTTATTTTTTAAAAATAATTTTTTTCATATTTTTATTTAGTTTTATTTAATTAATTATCAATAACTTTCAGTTTATTCAAAAATATGTTGCTATGTAATAAAATTGTATATATATATAATAAATAGTTATTATTTAAATCTATAATTAATTAATAAAATTTATATATATATATAAAATTATATATATATATATATATATATTCATATACAGTATACTATAAATTGCTAATCAATAAATATATTAATAAATTTTTAAATATTTTCTATGTAGTAATTACATCAAAAAAAAACATTATAAATCACATTTTTTATTTTATTTTTTATTTAATTGAAATATATTTAAAATCAAAACATATTGTCGTAATCACATAACATAGCATAACATACCTTATATATKATAATAAAATTTTTATATATCATATATAAATAAATATAATTTATTTATTACTSTACTATYTATTAGTCTATGTTTTTTTTATTTAGTTTTAGTGTTTACAAACCCTACACGTGTCTATGGTTTTCCTTACCCTCCCATTTAAATGACCGCCCCTTTTATATATTCAAACATGTGTGTAGTTTATTGTACACAACCTGATAGAGAGAGAAAGAGAGAGAGAGAGAGAGAGAGAGAGAGAGAGAGAGAGAGAGAGAGAGAGAGAGAGAGAGAGAGAGAGAGAGAGAGCACTTGTAGTGTAGATGCTCTCTATATATATAATATATATACTGTATATCACTAATACCTATCCATGTGCTGAACATACTGTACTTTATTGAGTAATATAATAATAATATCATTGGGAGCTAAATGTCCTAGTTGATTTATAATTATTATTATAAATTGATAATTTATCTATAAAAAAAAATAATTTAGCTATGATAATTTTTATCATAATGATGATTATGATAACTTATTTGCTAAATTTTTTTTAACTTTAATAATTTAATTAATAAATAAAATATTAATATAAATGTTTTTTTAATTATAATTTCTTTATTTAATACAAATATATATATATATATTAATTAAAATTTTTTAATATATTTATATTTATAGAATAATAATATATTGATAAATATAAAAATATTTTTCAATTAATAAATTGTATAAATTATTACATATATGTTTAATTAATACTGTTTTTTAAAAATAATAATAATTTAACAAAAATTCCTATTTTAATAATTGAATAAAAAAAACAAATTGTATTTTTTTCTTTAAAAAAAGTAATTKAAWTAATTAATAAAAAAYAAATATAAAATAAATTAATTGAAAAAAATAATAATCAAATATTTGGCAGACAGGCTTAAAAAAATATGACTGTCCTAACACACACACACACACATACCGTATTCAAAGGGTTTGGAACGATTAGAGACGTCCAAATACAAGGGGGGGGGTGGTAAAACTTATGGAAAATGTGGAATATGGAAAACAGGGGGTGGGGGTTTTACATTTAAAACGGTACGGTATTTGCCAAATATTTTTGTCAATAAAAAAAATTGTATAAAAATAATTTTTTAAAAAAAATAAATAAATATTTTTAGCAAAAAGCCTATTAAGATATGATTTAAAAATTTAAAAAAAAAAAAATCTTATACTACGGTGTTTTAGCACTACATTTCGCAGGCCTGATAAAACCTGATGGGTATCACCCAGTTTGGTGTCGTGTCCTATAAAACATTGCATCCTAACCGGTCCCKGGGGTATGGAGTAGACGAACAACTGGACGGTTTGCGCGCATACAATCGACCCGTACGGTCGGTTTGATAGTACCGCGCGATCCTTCCGTCATATACCGGGCCCTATGATGCGCTTCGGGTTGTTTAACAATACGTAGTTCGCGGGAACCGTCCGACGGATTTTGACGGATAATCCGAAAAAACAATTTGATTTCTTTGGCAGCAAACGATAGGCCGCCGCCGCCGCCACCAGTCGGTAGTATAGCATCCAGACTCAGAAACCGTCAACTTTGGTCATCTTATGACTACATCTTCCGAGGCAGTAGTCATCAGCCGACTGTTTCCGCCGACGGCGGCGCCGATCCGTCGGCGCGATCTGAGAACCTTTTCGTTCGACATCAACGTTCCTCTCCTTCAGTATACCCATACAGTCGAGGACCGACAGGTATTGATGTTTAACCGACAGTTCCAATTCAATGACATTGAAACCGTCAACTTTGGTCATCTTATACGGTGTTTTACCGCTGACTTCGCAGGCCTGATAAAACAGGTGCGGCTGACCATAGATTGGTGTCGTGACCGATAAAACATTGCATCTTAACCGCCGGCGGTGGCCCCGGCTTCGCATAGCCGAACAACTGGACGGCCGGATACGATCGACCCGTACGGTCGGTTTGATAGTACCGCGCGATCCTTCCGTCATATACCGGGTCCTGTGATGCGCTTCGGGTTGTTTAACAATACGTAGTTCGCGGGAACCGTCCGCTGATTTTGATGGATAATCGGAAAATAATTTGATTTCTTTGGCAGCAAACGACAGGCCGCCACCACC